TCTATATTACTAAAAATAGTTATTCCAAATTACTCTTTCTAGTCCATGACATAAATTAAACATAACTTTCCAATTTTGCCCTTTTAGTTATTGTAAAACTACACTTGAACTTATCATCTAGAAAATGCAAATGAAGGACAAAAATGGAAGAAATGTCCAACAACACTTAATTTGAATATTGAAAAAAAAAATCAAAATTCACTTATATAGATTAGAGGGAGTACTTGTCAATTTTTTTAATAAAATCAATTATTATTTTTTCCTATTTTACTCAGAAAATCGTGCATCAAATTATATATAGTATCCCTTATAAATTAGCATGTACTCTTTCCGTTTGAAATTATTTATCATGGTTTCTATTTTTAGAGTCAAATTATAAAAATTTTGACTAACATTTTAAGTTGTATTTTTTCATCATATTAATATGCAAAAAATTGTAATTTATAGTACTTTTCATGTACTTTTAGAATATATAATTTTTTTAAATAAAATATCAAATTAATATGATTTAATTTACTTTTGAAAATTAGTCAAATTGACTTTCGATAAGCGTAACTTGACAAACAATTCCAAACGAATAAAGTACTAATTATACATGTTTCTATAAATTGCAAACCAAATGTGTTGAATTATATACCTAATTTTATCAAATATGATATTTACTTATACAAAATTTAATATATGAATTTTTAGCTACTAATTCGAAACGACCTTAAAAACCTTAATACATGTATTTATCTTAGGCTCTACTTAAGAGATAATATAATATATGTTATTGTTATAATTAATGTGTATTTTATCCTTAATTTGTGTCTAATGCTTTTATTGAGTCAACATTACTTGATTTGTGTGAAGCATATCACCCCATGAATAATTTAGTTTTTGTCATATCAATATTTAAATGTGCAATCACATAACAATATGATGCACGTTGCTCCTTATGTGAAACATGTTAGTTAGCATCTTTTATACTTATTAGCTTCTTAATTAATTAAAACGAAAAAAGAAAGGGAAAAAAATTATTCGATGTTTACACTAAATTAATTTCATTTTTATAATTATGTGATTTAATTAAGTGAAATACATGTTAATGTATTAAAATTAAGTAAATTAAACTATAATTGATATAAACACCCGATGCAAATAAATTTTATCCAGAAAGAAAGAAAAGAGATTCCCTCAAAAATGAATTCCATAGAATAATTTTTTTGAAACAGATGAGGTTTTTCTTATATCAAGATCTCATTTAGACATGATATGAAATTAGTATGACAGTATTTTTCTTTTAGAAACAAATCAGAATTCTTAAATATTATGAATATAGAAAAGTTGTTTTTGAAATTGCTTTTGTATACTAAAAATAAATCAATTTCTTCGTAATAGTATGTCAGTAAGTTTGCTGGATAGTTAAAATGTATTCATATCATAAATTTGCATACAAATTAAATTGGACACGAGCCAATCATACACGCTCAATAAATATTCCTACGTTATATTTTACTATATTCTTATGATAAAATTATTTTTTTTACTTATTTATTTTAACTAGATAGGTACTCGCATGTGCTAGCACGGGCCCAACATCATAAAATTTGATATTATAAAAAAATCATACCTTTGTTTAGATATAAAAAAATACATAAAATTTTTTCTAAATTTGGCAGCAAAATTTACTTTAGTACTTAAACTATATGGACATTTAAATACCCTCTTATCATCTTCGAATTATTTTTTTTCCACCTTGAGACTATAACACTACTTTCATCCGTCATATCATAGTCACATAATCATATAGGTACCACTTCATTAATTTTTAATTCTTTCTTACTTATTCACTATTTTCTATTAAATACTTTTTAAGATTAATTATATTAATTAATTTATTTATAAATACATACACCACTCCCTCTATTTCTTCTCCCTTGTTCACCAAATCAACTTTCAAGACTTACTTTTTTTCTTCCTCTTCACTATTCAACTATTTTTTTTTAAATATCTAGAATGAGAAAGTTCACTATAATATTTACATTATCTTCTTCAAACTTATTCAACAAAAAAACCCTCTTGAAAATGAATATTTTTTGAAAGTGAAGTTTTTCTTGACAACTCAAATAAGAAATGAAGATTGCATAAAAAATGATAAAAAAAAATATAAATTCTATGAGACATATTTGAATAGATCTAGAAATCAAAACAAACCATTCAAAATTCAAGAAAGTTTATATTTATAAAATTGACACAAATAATATAGAGCAAAATAAACGTCAATAAAATGACTTTGATATTAAATTTTACATATTAGTAAAGGACTAGTAAAATGAAAATAATTTTTTTTTTGAAGTGGGGAGGAAGATGGAGGAGGATGTGTTTCAATAGAGAAAAGGGTGTATTGAGGAAAAAAATTACATATTTTTTTAGAGAGTTAATATATCAAGAAAAATTATGTAAAATATTAATTATATATTGATCAATAAAAAAAGGCCATGTGTAGAACTTCAAAAGATTCAGCTTCTTTTTACTTTTTTTTTCACGCGCTTTAGGAGAGTACACTCACTCTCTCTGCTACATCATCCCTTAGGAGGTGTTAAAATCACTTGAAAAATATTATGAAATATTTAAACGCTTGTGTAGTTTAAGGGTTAAAGTAAATTTTGATGCGAAGTAATGAGAATTTTTATGTATATTCTCTTTAGATATTAAATGATAAGTACTTCATAATATTTAAAATCCACAATATATAGACGTATAATGTTTATTAGGATGAAAATGTTAGTAGTAATATGTTGTTCGTGGCTTCTAATTTTAGAAAAAGTATATGTAATAGCTATTGAAATCAATACCAAATTAATGAGGTAATTTACAATTAAGACACATAAGTTTGTATAGATAATTAAAATGTCAAAACTATCCTGAATTCAAATTGAAATATCAAAAAGCAGACATGTTGATATTAGTTAATCAACTCGTGTTTCTATAATAGTAGAAAGAATATAAATCAAGAGAGAGCTTTTTACCCCCCTCTCTTATACTATTTTTAATATTAAATAATTATATAAGTAGTATTATCTCTCGCACTTTTAATAGTTCATTACATTAAATTTTTTTTTCACTTTTACCCGTAAATTATAGCATATCAAAAGAAAAAGAAACTCAACATTAATTACTTATTTCTCAAATTATTTTTCAAGACCTAAGACTTTATGTCAATTAATAAGAGTATTATGATAAAATATTCAGATTAATCATTATTTCTCAGGGCCAGTATTACTATATCAAAAATAATTTTTAGCAATTATTAATTAATGACAATAATTTAATTGCCATAAAAAACTAGATATATATTTTTAACGGCATTTAACACTCTTTATAAATGTTCAACACTCTTTATAAATGTTAAGCTTATATCGGCATTAGATCCAATGACAATTATTAATATTGCCGATAAAGACTTTATCACTCTTTGCTTATATATAAATTTATTGCCGCTAAAAATTATTTATGTTATAGTGTGTAAATTTAAAGTGAACAATTGAAATAAACACATAGTAGTAATCAAAAATAGAATTTCAAAGTATATACATGTTTATAAAAATTTATTTAAGAATTATATAGAGTGATAGAGTGAATAATTGAATACTCCTATATAGTTTAATGAAAGGGGTGTACTTTATAGATACAAATTAAATTTATGTATAAAGAAGAAATAATAATTCATCAATATATGTTGTTGGTGTAGGTTGCACACATTGATGACACTATAAATTAGCCTCCGCAACTATTTTGGTATTTACATACCAATATGATTTACTGTCTGACTCTGAGACTCCCACAAGGGAAGGGACAAGCACCAAACTAAATTAAATATAGCAACATATACTCTGGCAAACCCTTTGCCATTAAGTTCCAAATCATCGATTATACTCGATACGGAGTTAGAATTTTTTATTAAAAGTATATATTTTTCAAATTATATTGAGAAAGTTTAACATATATATAATATATACTAAATGTCAAATTTGATTTCACGTATATAATTTACTTTTTCAATGAACCTTTCTTCTTACTCTAGCTTCGTCACTGAGTACTTTCATTTCCTCGAATTAAACAAAAAGATGTCTAACACCATGTGAACCGTAGGGTCTCCTTGCTTTCCACAAAACCAAACGTTCCATTTTGAGAATGAAAAGGTGTGATGCACATTGAAAAAAAGTGAGTATGAAATAATAACAATGATCACTTTCATTACAACGACTAATAATGATTCGAAATATATTTATTTGAGATTTTGAAGACGAGTTTTAAAAATGAAGAAAATTTTATTGAAGCATTAAAAATAACCATTGCATTGCATAAATTTTGATTTAATCAGACTTAGAAATCATTTGATAGAGTGTATTAGAAAAAGCCCTTGCAATGCACAAATTTTGATTTTACAACTTAAAGTTTTTGAGTGCTATTATATTAACAATGTGTTTGAATGGGTATTATTTTGTGTTAGTTTAAATAAAGGATTTATTTTAAGTTATTTATATATTTATCAGTCTTTTAAAAATAAAAAACTGATATAAAAATAAATTTAATCAATTTTTAAGTTAATCAATATCCTTTTGTTCTTTAAAGTTATTGATACATGACTTTATATATAAATGAAGATATCATAATCTATCAAATATCATACACAATACAATATCACATTATACCTTATATACAATAATAATCTCATTATTCTGACTAAGAATGGATGATTTAAAATAATTGTAATTGTACAAAATTAAGATATAATTAGTCATTTATTCTTACTGGTATCTTTGATCATAAATATAAATATAGTACTAAAGTGATGCAAAAGCAAAATAATTAATAATAAATAAAAATATATCTAGTAGATGTATATAAAATTAAATATGACAAATAAAATAAATCGAGAAAATAACAATATTATCTAAAGAGAGTGTGAGTGGGCTGTGAAAAAATAAAATGTCAGCTGCTTTTATAACAAACGCTTTTGCTTTAATTCCACTTTCCTCAACAATTCTTCCCTCACAATCATAGCAAACTCCATAATTCTCCATTATATAATTCCGCTTTATCACACGAATCACATTTTCCCGTTGTAAATCACAATTCACTTCTAATCGCCGGTGCCGGAAAAATGGAGAGTGCACCGTCCACCGACGATGAGTTCGATTTGCAGAGTGAGCGTTTTGACGACAGTTACAGTCTCAGTGCTGACATCAGCGAATCGGAAACTTGTAGTAGCACGAGTACTTTCTCTTGCCGTCAACAGGACGCTTTCACTTCTCTATCCTCTTCTTCTACGCTGCATTTCAACTCCAATTCCGGTTTCGCTGAACTGCCTACTGTTATGTTGCCGGTCGTCGGAGGTAGACACGTCATCATGCCGGGCGAGAAACCGGATAAGCCTGAGATCGAGTTGTCTGGTGCGTAATTTGCTTCCTCTGTTATGTTCTGTGTGATTTTGTAACTTTTTTGCTGCAGTTTTATGTACCGTCTGGTTGAAGTAGGCAAGTATGCATACTAAGCAAGTTAACGCAACTTATAGTGATAGTTTTTAGCTTGTTATGTTAACTAGAGCATGAAATTCAGCACTAATTACGGTTTGTTTGTCTTCCTTGTGTGCTTTCAATGGCACGTTTTTCATAGTTACATAATTTTAGGCTGTTAGCTTGCTTAGAAAGTCTTTATATGTTAAACGCATTGAAGTAAATCATGGAGGAGAATTGAGAACTCCAGAGGAACTTTTATTTTACTTTTAGCATAGAGATTACAGAGTCTTCTCCTCTCTGTTATTTTAAGAGAAGTTATCTTAGAATGAGTTCCACATCGTTTCCTTGTTAAAGTAGCTATGCCTTTAATGACATTTCTTATGATTTAACATATAGTCTTGTGGATAGTTCTTTTAGGTTTGAAAATGGACTATAAAGGATGCCAGTTTTGTCTACTTTAACTCTTTCCAGTAAGTTGTGTGTTTGTGTAGTATTACTTTACCTGATTCCATCAGCCACTGAGTGATGTTTTTGTGATTACAGAAGTTGAATTGATGAAAGAGCGGTTTGCTAAACTACTGCTCGGAGAAGATATGTCTGGAGGAGGAAAAGGGGTCTGTACTGCTTTCGCCATCTCCAATGCCATCACCAATCTAGCTGGTATGTCACTTCACTTCGCATTTTAATGAGGTTCGGCAAATTCCACTAGGATTAACATTGTGAGTATTCTCTCATTCCACTTGCAGCTACAGTCTTCGGGGAACTCTGGAAGTTGGAGTCATTAGCGCCACAAAAGAAATCGATGTGGTTTCGAGAGATGGATTGGCTTTTGTCTGTGAGTGATTCAATAGTAGAACTTGTACCTTCTGAGCAGGAGTTCCCTGGTGGTGGGACTTTTGAGGTTATGGTCACTCAACCACGGTCAGATCTCTATGTAAATCTTCCAGCACTCAAGAAGCTAGATGCAATGCTAATTGGCATGTTGGATGCCTTTTCTGGCTGTGAATTTCATTATGTCGACCGAGGGATACTTGTCGCTGATGGAGAAGATGTCGAAGCATATCCTTGTTCCCCATCCTCTCATAGACCTTCCAGTAGACTTGAAGAGAAGTGGTGGCTACCATTCCCAAAGGTCCCACCAAAAGGTTTGTCAGAAGAGACAAGGAAACGATTGCGGCAGTGTAGGGAATGCACAAATCAAATTTTCAAGGCAGCTCAGGCGATCAATGCCAGCACACTATCTGAAATGGAAGTACCAAAAGACTACCTGGAGGGATTGCCAAAGGTTAGTGTGCTCACAATTGAAATGATCCATCTTTTATAACCTTTTTCTCTTTCCTATCAATTAATAAGCTGTTGTTTTACCTGGACACATATGGACATTTTCATTCATCTGCAAGGAAGACCAGTGATTCGGTAGTTTCTAGGCACACCGTATGTTTATTCCAAGCTTATTATGTCAATCTCCTATTTCCTCCCATTTCTTGGTTATAAACAGAAATAGAGCATCTTGAGGTGGAACTTATAGATGTTTCATCTAACATTAGAAAGACAGGAGTCTTCCAATATCTTCATAATATCTGCTTTTTATTTGTTATGTGCTCGCCCTTTTGATTTTTTGAAAAACCTTGCTATTGAATTTCCCCCCAAATATATTGTTTCTTCCATAGTTCTATAAAAACTTTAAGACATGCTTTTGTTTAATTCATCATTGGCCTGTAATTTCTCAGAGTGGGAAGGCATCCTTGGGGGAAATTCTCCACCGATATATTACTGCTGATCATTTCTCTCCAGAGTGCCTCTTTGATTACTTGGATCTCTCATCAGAGTATACGACTTTGGAGATTGCAAACAGAATTGAAGCTGCTATGCATGTATGGAAGCAAAAATGTGAAAAGAAGAACTTGAACCGGTCAAAATCTGGAAAATCATCATGGGGTGGAACGGTAAAAGGACTTGTTGGTCTTGTGGAAAGATATCAACTCTTGTCACAGCGAGCTGAGAACTTACTGAGGAACTTAAAGCTAAATTTCCCCGGCCTTCCACAAACTGCACTGGACATGACCAAGATTCAGTATAACAAGGTATACTCATGAGCCTCTTCTTTACTGCTTTGCTTTTATGACCACTGCCCTCATGTCCAGATTTTCAAGTCGCTTTTTGCTTATTAACGGTTAAAAGTTAACTTAAGGAGCTGATCACCATACTTACTTGAACAGCCTAGTTAAGTTGCTTATTCCATGAAATCAGAAGATGATCACTGCAGACACCAAAAGTTCTGAAGCTATTATTTTAGTTGGCGAACATGTGGCCTGATGCGGCTTATAAACATCTCTATGTATAACCTGAAAAAAAAGATCACAAAACATTAACCTTTAAAGGTTGCTGCCACAATTTTCTGAATTTTTTTTAAAAGGGTCGATGCTACAATTATCTCATTTGATATTTGCATGAAGCCTCAAAAGCTTATCTCATGTTTGCAATATGATCAACGTTACCATTTTAATCTAAAGAAAGCTTATAAATATGCAACAATTGCTTCCTAAATTAGTTAATATGGTCATCTTTTGTTTGATATAGAAGGTCACTAGAAGGACAATCATAAAACTGTTTACCATTATTGACGTAGGTTAACTTGCTGCATGAATACACTTTATTTTATTGTGTCTAGTTCATGTGTTACAAAAAGTTTCCAATTACATCAGGATTAAAGAAACTGATGTAACTTTCATGTTCATGTATGCAGGATGTAGGACATTCAATCCTTGAGAGCTACTCTAGAGTGTTGGAGAGTTTGGCCTTTAACTTGATGGCAAGGATTGAAGATCTACTATATGTAGATGATGCCACAAGGCGGCGTGCAGCTGAAGAGTCGGCCGCAATGCTCGACCAGCGAGGATTCTTTAACGCGCAGTCCCTACAGAATCAGGTTCCGTGTGCTTCCAATTTTGCCCGAAATAACTCTCTCCCCTCCTCAAAAGCTTTCAGTTCCTTGGATATAGTAGCTGAAAGCCCAGAGAGAACAGCTCATTCAATTGGGCATACTGTTCTTAGCAGCCCACGAGCTGAGAAACACAAAGCACTCAGTTTTTGAGGAATCCAAAGGGTGGTAGTGCATAGTAGGTATAGAATACAATGACTATTGACCCCTCATAGTTCTAGAAATTTAGGGGTCATTAGAGTTTAGAGATGGCTATTCCAACATCAGTCTAGTACTCTAATTCTTTGAGTAGTTAGCTGGAACTCAAAGTTTTAGATAATGCAAAATCCATGCATCCTAGACACGTTACTGTGATAATTTCTTGAAGGTCTATTCTGGATTCAAACTACTATATGTATATTTTTAGAAAGCTTGTATGATATCCATATAAACTTGGGACCTTCTAATCCAATAAGTGCAACTATCTGGGTAATTTCTTTTACCTTATGTAAAAACATACTGAATTGAATTTAATTGAAAGCATAACCATTAAGGTTGGTCTTTCAGCTTTTTTCTTGTACTGGTTTCATGATATGGCATTGGGTCCTCACCACTGTAGCAGGGGCTTAAAATTTTGTATATTTAGAGGTAAGTGTTTATGTTTGCAAATATAATGGTCTTCTCCTAGTCAATTTATGCTTTAAGGGATCGTTTGGTTCTGGAACAAATTATGCGGGGATTAGTAACGTAGAAGTCTAATATTTAAATTCCAACTTGCCTATAATGAGATGCTCTAGAGGTTGAAGTGATCTCTATAAACTCCACAAGCAAGGGTACTTTTATTCATAATGTTGTGCTAAAACCAGCAAGGGTAGCCAAGTTGGTTGAACAAGGCATCTCCCCAATGGGGATTCTCAAGTTTGTGACTCCCATGGTTTCTTGGTTGAGTTCATCGCACGGGTCTGCGTGGTTTGTGGAAGCGGACTTTACCTGTGCATACTCAAAGGATAGTCATTGCAGGTTTCTTGACATAAAGTTGTGCTAAAAGGTCTATTAGTTTCAAAAACTTCCTAATAGTCAAATGGTGTCAAACAAATTGGAACTTCAAGAGATCAGTTCTAAAATGGTGTAACTTCTTGAGCACAATTGACATTTCAAGTTTTAACAACCCATTTTTTCTGAATGGAAAAAAATTGGGCTGGTGACATTTCAATTATGAAATGTTCAACTGAACTCTCGAACATATAACTAGATGTTTAAATGAAACATACCCATTGTAGTCCCATGAAATGTGGTATGAGAAGGATATAATATGCACAAACTGTATCTCTACAACATATGAGATTGTTTTAGATAGATCCTTGGCCTACATTAGCTATTTAAATTATCAGTAAGTGAAAACAACAGAGTGATAATTATCCCTACCCAAATGGGCTTTGAGAGATTTGAGATTTTAAGCAATCATTATTTGGCTGAGTGAAATTCTTTTCATTGAGAGTAAAAACACAAACATCATTTGACTAAGTGGGATATCATAACTCGTAAGTCATGAGTTCTACTATTGAAATGATTTTAGAGTTTTAGAACCAATAGTATTCAATTCAACATCATTCGAATTGTTATACAAGTGGAATACCCAAAGCTCCACTAGCTTATTGCTCTCTATTATTCCTAGATGAAAACATGAAAACTTGGGGAGGGTAATTAGAAAGAAATTCGTCGCACCAACTATGTTGGTGCGACATAATTGGTAAAATTCCACTAGTGTGATTGGATGGGTAGAGTATATGCAGATATTATTCTTTCTAACCTTGTGGAGGTAGATCCGAAGTACCCTTGGCTCTTGCTTTATCTAAATTGGAATGGAACAATATTAGAGAACTATTCTCCCATATACAAGGAGAATAAGTTACATTTAGCAAAGAATACAAGGAAATTTGCAAAAATCTGCACGGGAAGCAAAAAAACACATTTTTTTGCCTACGAACCGCTAAGAATGTGGTGAAATAGATCAATTTCTTCCGATCATAATTAGATGTTTCGAGTTCCAATCCTAAAAATCAAAAAGTCCATGGGCATTTATGGTTAGATGTTCTGTATTAGTGTGCTCATTAATTATACCCAAGAGATTTGCTAGAAATTAATTGATGCATCAAATATGCCGTGGGGAAGAAGGTAACATTACTACAGTGAGAACAGAAATTATTCATTGCAGTACTACTGGTAGTAGGTGACCTTGAGGGCAATATTAACTGACAAAGTCTATGAACTTGGAAAAGAGACACAGTTAACTATAAGTATTAAGTAAACAACAATAAATACAAAACCCACAAAGGTGGTTATTGATCTGGTTGAGCAGATGATATCTTAAATGAGAGATCTCAAATTTAAGATCCCCACATATTTTCTCGGTCAAGCTCAATGCTTATTATAGAGACTTGTCTGATGTGATTTACCTCTCCGATGTAACAAAAAGTAGGTCCATTCCTATAATTAATTCATTAGGTCCGCGGGAGCATAGAAAAAGGAACTTTAAGTTGCCATAATTTATTGGAAAAATGTCAGACATCAATCATGAGCCAAGCTATTCCCCTCTCCCTCTTCATTAATCCACTGTGCATGCTCATTGCAATTGTATTCAAAGTTTTATAAATTTTGTATAGCTAATTATATGTATAATATATATCGAGAAAGTTACAACATTTAGCTCCACCCGACTACCCAAGCCCGTACATAATTCCGGTCTATATTTCAAAAAATTCTAGAGGGCTAGTTAACTAGGCACAAAATATAATGAAAGTGATCTTTTAGTACATATCTTAACTTAAAAATATGACTTCTAGCACACGACAGCGTTGCACTTTTATTATTGAACCCAAAGTCAAAACCTAGCTACAACTACTGTTTACATGCTAGACAAATTTCTACTTGAGAAAAGAACTTAGATATAGTTGTCGATTTCAATTACCGTCCAAGATCTCAATTATTTAGGTACAAATGACACTATCATCGTGGCTTGTACAATTAACTAGTTAGCTAGAGATCCAACACTCTTTGATTTAGATGTCTTGCTAGTATCATGTTATTACCTCGATAACATATAAACATACAACTCTAAAACATGATATTAGCAAGTTATCTATAGATTAACTAACAGATTAAAGAGCCATCCTTTGGTTAACATACATATTACAAAACTTTCAAAATCAATGTTGATACAAATAGTATGGAATTAGTAAAAGTAACTAATTTTCAAAATGGGAGACATCCTCCATTTTTATGGATCCCTTTACAACAAGATACATATCATGAATAATCTTACGATCTAAGAAATGAATAATCCACAAGTGAGGTCTGAGAAATCTGTTGTGTACATAACAGATCTTGTATATACCTTCAACACGATCATCCGGGGTGAACAAGAATTGGGGATCGGATGCGGGCGAAATTCCCGCCAATGGCTGAGATGTTCAGTCGACTCCCTCCCCCTTTGTGGGGGTCCCGACCCCTACGAGTGAGCAGAAAAGGGAGGAGGAAAGAGGCCCTGGGAGGTGGAGATATGGCTTCCGATAGACCGATCCCAACTCAAGTATAGTCTAAACAAGTGTTGAATTGATCTCATTCCACAAAGGAACAAATATACATAACAAAAGTTCTAGCTATATATATAGATGTATAGTAAGCACAACAAAATGAATAGCTTAAAAGATGAAAAAAGATAGGGTTTTTGAGCTCCAAGTAGCATTTGATGGATCAAGAATATGTTGTTTGTTTTATCAATTTCATTGCAAGAAAAGAACTTTGAAGATACAAAGTTAAAATATGAATCAAGAATATGTCCTTTGAGGATTGAAACAAGAAAAATATCAAATTGAAGAAAACTAATAAATCCAAACAATATAAAGATTTGTCCTTTTATTACCTTTTTGGAATTTCCAAAAAAGAACTACTCATCATCATTATCATCAGTATCAACACAAAATATGTGGTTCAATTAACATCAAGAAGATTTCACAAAGAGAAACTAACACAAATCTGTTGACAGTATGCCCACCTCCATTTTTTAAAAAAAATAATAACAAAAATTATTTTTCTAAAAAAATAGAAGATTATGAAGGTAAAGGAGGTGGACAGAATGCCAAAGAACTATGTAAGGAACCCTTTGAGAAATCTTCATGAAAATCAAGATTGTAGTCTCTCAATAATCTTCACTACTTAATTTTTGTACTCATAATAATAATAATAATAATAATAATGTAGTTTCAAAAGAGGGGCAGTTGAGCACTATTTAAGATGGTGGCTGAAAAAATAATTAATAGAGAGAGAAAAATGTTATTTTTGAGAAAAGTAAAGGGAGAGATCACAAATCAGATTGGAAGTTTCATTCCTCTCTTTATTCTGAATTTTGCCCCTCCTTTCAAAGATTTAAAATTGAAATTTTATTTAATTATATAAATATTTAAATTTAAAATTAATATTTTATTTGAATACATTAATATTTAAAATTGAATGTTATTTAGATATAACAAAATTGACATTAATTTAAGTTACAATTTTATTCAAACACATAAAAATCTCACAATCTACGAAAGTTAATAAAAAAATCCAACTCCCTGTATAACCTTTATTATATTATAATTTATAAATATGATACCGAAATATGATATGTTAGTCTCATTATAAATTATATATGTTTATGTTTATATAAATTAATGTTTGTGATACTATGTTATGACATACTTCCAAATACATATAACTTTATAAAAATTTATTGATCCAATAAATCAACCATAGAATAAATAACTATTCCTTAATATTAAACTTTTTATATATTACAAACGATCGAATATGAATTTTTCTTTTTAATGAGATAAATTTATGAATAAAGTTTTAAATATTAAATATTAAAAATTTGATTCACAAACTTGAAACTCAACTATCTTTTAGGAGAATTTGTAATTTACTATCGAAGTGTCAAATTCAAATATTCAAATATCACAAACAAATATTTTAAAAAAAAAGAACTTCAAATTGGGAAAGTATTTTTCTTCTATCCATTTTGTAAAAGGTTAAAGAGATTTTAATTCCTTCCATTTTTATTGTAAGACTAAATCAGAGCTCGTTGCAAGTGTTACAAAATAATAGATCGTTCTAAAAAAGAAAACCTAGACTTATGTTTTTGAAGTATAAGAAAGAGCTTATTTATTAGTTATTGTTTAGTAACTTTTATTATTAATCACCGCATAACAAATATTTTTATCGGTTTAACTTTTATTAGGATTGTTTAATTCGTAATATAGACCATATCAAAATTGAAATAGAATCTATAGTATTTTGTTATTCTTAATTACAAATATATTAAATTCAAACCCTAAAAATCTAATCCTTCTTAGTCAGCATTCTATTTTTGAACATTGATCTTCCTTCGATAATTTAAATTATTCAAAATAAATATCAAATACTAACAACTATAAATGAAAGAAAATTTATGGTTGTAGCCTTTAATATTATTTATTTATTTAAGAGATTATGTTTGTCGGGTGGGAAGTCGGCCACTAGAGGTGGCATCCTAGGTATATATATATACGCTGCTGAAATAAATATTTTCTTCCTTCATTTTCATTTATTTTTTAAAGCTCCCTTTTTTTTATATAATTAAATAATAATTTCACTACTTATGTTAAGCGATGTATATTTTTATGCAGGAAATAATTTAAAAAATAAACAGTTATCGATAAAATACTGAACGAATAAAAATAATCGAAAAACATGATATTAAGAGGAAGCTTAAAAAATGAAATGATAAAGTTTTGACAATAAATGGTCAATGACTTCAATTATGTTGCTTCACACCTTATTACAGTGTTATCTCTTGCCAACACCATTTTCGAAGACCACATTTTTTTTTAATAGTTTCACTATATTTATTCTAAAAAATAAAAAATTAGAGAAAGAGTAATAATCCTTTCCACCCTTTTGTCGAGTGATATGTCGCAGTCATTATGCCAACTTTCTCTTCATTGTAATTTTCTTTTTTCAATTTTCGAATTTCGCTGTGAAATTAATTTTTTAAAATTATTTTATTGATTACTGAGCCATTTTTTGAGTGCAAATGCGATATTATATCTTTAGTCCTTGTGTATTGAACTTTATTTTCGTTAATATTTATTTTATTCATTCGATTAGAAATATTTTTAAGAGATAATAAATACAATAATAATTTTATTATATGATAAGCTTTGATTATTATATGATAGGAATAAATTAGAAATAAGTAGTATTTCATAAGAGAATAAAATAAGTTAATTATAAAATGATAAATTATTTTAAAACTTTTAAATTAAATTAATAAAAATAATTACTTGGTCCTTTTAACTCTTTGGCCACAAGGTATATACCATCCCCATTTACACCATTTATTGCTGGAAAACAACAACCTACCAAACTTTCATTTTCTTTGGGTGCACTATTTATTGCAAAACAGAAGTCTATCGACCCAAACCCCACCTCCAAAATTACAGTGGTTGATCAACAACACCGTATGATATTAAAGATGTCACATGTTTCAGATTCAAATTTTAATTATCAAAAAAGTTCGATAAAAAGACATTTTTCCTTCTTAAATTAGTAGCATAAATTCAATTTAACCAAATTTTCTATACAAATATCTAATATCAATGAAGAACCGAAAAAAAAAGAAAGAACAACAGCTAGATGTTGTTTCTTTTTTAGTTTCTGTAATACTATTAAGCCATTTAAGTGTTGTTGGAGGTCTACACAACCAGTTGGCATTTGTCAGATAGAGCCATGATTGAATCATTGGGATACTCATACATATAATACACATTGTATGTTTTTAACCCAAAAATATTTTTTTTAAAAAAATAATCAAAAGAATGTACGATCAAACTTTTTTAGTCACGGTGTTATTTGTGTTAGATTCTCTTTCTATTGTTACAAGGAAAATTTGTTATGGAGGACCTATGATACATCATAACATGAAAAATTAGTTCTAAAAATTATTTATTTTTCTACTCTCTTGCTTTTTATAACTTTTATTAGATAGACGTTAATTAATTTAAAAATATATTATATTTTAGTAAGGTTTATTTAGAATATTATTAATTAATAAAAACGTGTCTCTCAAGTTAAGTTCTAGAATATTATCAGAATAAATATAGATCTTGAAATCAAATCTCATCGCCATTCAAATTAAAAGGAACTTTCACATATTTAACTTAAATTTTTAAATGAGATGCTCATACACCTATCGAAATAATAGAATTAATTAATCACACAACTAGCGGAATGATAGAATTACTCACAAATTAAACAGAGTTGGAGCTAGGTTAATTCAAGCTACCGGGAAAAACAGAATTCAGCAATTAAAACAAAATGTTTATATTATAAATTAAAGTTTTATCTAATATGCAAAAATAGATATTTATTTATTTGTATGGTAATAATATTTCTTGTAGTAAAAATATTGATGATATCCTAGCATCATGCTTACTACAATGAAAAGATAAAAGGAAGATTGACCTTTTGGAAACAATCAGCACTAGTTTTTTTGGGAGGCAATTTTGGTGACATATAAAAACTTTAAATTATATAACTTTTTAGAAATGAATTTTCTTTTTAGTATAATAATTATTTATGGTTGTTCTCCATTAATTTTCCACACTATGATATTATGAAGTGCCTCCACATTAGTTCAGCATGCAATATTACCTTTTTTCTTGTATTAATTGGAGCCACTTATAATATTCACATGACACGTATTATTAGACCTTATGAATTGACCTTTCAAGCCATGTTATTCTCATTGAATTCAAAAATGTGCGTATCGTGTAGATTTATGTTAATGTGAAATTTGATCGTCAAGGTAATAAGTATTATTTTGTTCTTAATTAATAAATTTAGGGTTTAAGTCTTTTTGATACAGAATCGTTATTGTTAGAAAGCATTTATCTTTAATATGAAATTTTTTAACGTAAATTTAAATTTAATTAAGTTATAATATGAATACCGAATACCGATATGAAAACAAAAATGATCTATTGAGATATAACATGTGTTACGTTTTGTCAACTACAACAACTTTTTAATGTAGGCCTAATTTAGTAATGTAGGAAATTATGAAAATAAATCATATAATTTTTCTTATGATATATCTTATGCTTTTCATGATTATGAAGTACCCACTCTACCGTTTACTGGGGTTAATTGCAGGGTCCAGGTGCTAATTTCTTTTGATTAATAAATAGTTCTGACACAAAATTCTCAAAGTTAAAATTAAAGTAGTACTTTTATACCGTCATTGTGAATTAATGTAATTATATTTTAGACTTAATAACTATCATACTATTGCATTAACAAAAAATAATAATCTGCATTAGTGAGAATAGTTTTATTATTGGTAATATTAATGACCCCTTTTTTTGTTCTAATTTCATCAAAATACATTTCTTTTAACTAATCTACGTTTTCAAAGTCATTTTCTAGATATATATATATATATAAGAAATTGTTGAATGACGAAACAAGAAATAAAGACGGACTCAAAATTTAAAAAGTTATGAATTCTCTTAAAACAATTTTCAAAAGTTAATATAATAATAAGTAAATTTTTGATCAAATATATTTAAAATTTAGATAATAGTTTATTAATTTTATGTAAATCCATTATAGTTTGTCATTGACAAGAAAAGACAAAAGAGTATTATATTAGAGCTACCAACTCAATTTCCTTCTTTTTTTGTTTGCTATAAAATAATCATAATGTTTCAAAGAAGTGATTTAGATCATCTTACCAATTTAGTGCACATAATGATTAGGGGTTTGCTAAAAAGTGGTGCCTTAATTTAAAGAAACCATGCATGCAGTAGAAATAATGAATTATGTTTAATTATTCTATATAGTTATTGAACAATATTATGGATTAATTTAATTAGGAGCATCTTCTTCAAATTCAAGACACAACATGATCATGTAACTCTGCATGTAATTGTATTTTTTTTTTTAAATATTGCTTAGGCATGTGATTATTATTATTATTATTATTATTAATAATTGTGTGTTAATTAAAAATTATTGGGTTGACTAATGAACAAATTTGTATCATGTAGACTTATTAAGAGGCTAAAACACCTTTTATGAAAATAAACTTCATTTCATAATTAAAATAAATAGCTGACTAAGAATAAAAAAATTTGATCCACGTATATCACTCATAACACCGCTCGGTAGTCGATCATTTGAGTAAATTGAGGTTATGTACTTTTTTGTTTTTGGAATATATACACTATTGAGTTGAAACTTTGAAATATTCCTTCAACCAAAAGTAAACAAAAAGTTTTTAACCCTACCTTCTACATTTTTTACTTTTAACCCTAGGTAAATTATGATTAAGGTGAATATTAGTACTAATAAAGTTGAGTTTTCCTATAGATAACGTGAATTGGTAAAAAGACATTGGGAATAGAAGCTAGGGGAGATGATTATGGACTAAAAGAAAAGACCAACTTTAATTAAATGATGGATGATTTTTTTTAAAAAAAAAGTGTGCATCACGTGATAAATACATGAGGGAGAAATATGAAAATATAATGATAATTTTGGGTTATTTATTGTATGATAATAGAAATTTTTATTTCATCTTTATTTATTTTGGAGATGTTGATAGGGGCGTTGAGTTTTCAAGACATAAATCATGAGATGTATGACGATTTGTTATGATGGTGATGTGAGGAATCTCTCTTTTTTCGACACAACTCCATGTGATCCCTTCATTTCAATTTAACAGTCATTAGGTTATTTCTAGGTATCCTTGATATATATTATTAGATAAGATAGTGTTTTGACTAGTCAAGAATATTCACGTTCAGATAAATGTGAGGGCATACTAAAAGAAATATGATTAAGAACATAGTTATACTGATAAGATGGGAGTGATCTCCGTGGTAAAATATGAAAGAAATGAGATTGTGAAATAGTTCGAACATATAAAGAAGAGATGCATGAATGCACCACCAAAAAGGTACGAGGGGTTAGATTTTATAGGACTTAGAAGTGGTAAAGCCATGTCGAAGAAGAAACAGGGAAGGTGCTTAGATATGACATGAAAAAGTTTTAGCTTACTAAAAACATGAACGTAAACCCTAGATGAAGGTATACTGATCACGAAATTGGGAAGAAGATAAATAAATAACAGAGTATTGTCTCATTTTATATGAGAAACAAAAGACAATCCTTTGATCTTTCTGACATGAAAATGGCTTCTTCCCTCATACAAAACGATAACTGAATAAATAAACCTGAACCTCCTTATTACATTGCATTCAAGAACACTTTTATTACCTTTCTGCAATGTCTAATGAACAGAAATAAAAAAAAAAGTCATCACTCCAACCAAACCTATAGAGGCGGATCCAGTATTAGAAGTAGGTGCACGGGTTTGAAACACACACACATATATATAAGATTACTTCTGCCAGACTGCATAGCGATGGCCACTGGTCGCGAGAGTCCACTCTTTCCCAGCAGGGCACCATGATCCGTCCCCGATCTTCATGCTAACCTTTTCATCAATGGTTGCAGCGTATAAGTTTGACTGTGCCTCAATAATCCTTATAGATGAACGACTGTGTATGCCTTGATTCCTCCGAATAGCAATCTGAAGCATACATTTCAAACATTAGGATCGTCCAACTCTGACTGTTCACTCAATTTGTGTCAATAGTTAATAGATATTGACATACCAGCTTTACAATTTGGTCATGCATGGAATTATCCCATTCGTAGAAATGGTCATAGAAAACTGATGGTATCCCTGGGTGCGTTAGAATGTATGCATAGCCCTGGAGTGATAAGTATAAGGCCAGATTCCACAAAAGATGATCATGAAAAATAAGATCTGAACATTTGTATAGTAGGAGAAATATGTAAACTAGAAGTACTCTAGGAATACAATATAGAAGTAAAAATAAGCTCGTAAGTCGAGCATCTAAATGTGGAGGATAGATGTTGAAAATACCTCCATAACATGATGTGAAGGGAAAGGCCAGTGCGCCTACAAGGTGAGATCATTATGTTAGTTGAGTAATCAAGGGAAAATATTTCAGTTTCCATGATAAGAAAAATATAAAAGAGAGTAAATGATCCAAGAAGCTAGCTAAATTCAAAAACAGATTAAATGAATGAATTACATTAACCTATGCGACTGCATTAACAAAATCAAACAGTAGAATAGTTATGTAGCATAGGAAATGAAGCAGCGAAACCAAAGCAGAGACTAAAGCCAACTAGATGCAAATCAGACAACATCAGGAACCTGAGTTGATCCAGTGTCGTGATTATCAATAAAAGTGACAGCCCTTGAAGGCCACCATCCTAAAACTCCTGGTGGTTTCCCCTTAGAGTCGCGCAAACGCCAGAATTCTCCTTTAACTGCTTCCTGCCATTGCATATAGATAATAAGGTTAGCACTATTTTCTGGTATATCCTCACTGAATCACAGACAAATCCCCGAATAAATAACTTGAACAAGAAACATAAACATGTCATCAAAATTCATTTGGATTTGCTACCATTACTAAATTTGATCTGAAAACGTGTAGTCTTTGATACTAATATCAGATGAAAAGGACCCATCATTTTTATTAGGATCTTAAGTTTAATAGTCAATAAGCCTATGACTCAGGTCTCATATTTAAATGGATACCTGAAGGATTGCTTTTGTTGTAAAATCGAATGCAGTTGAAAGTTGTCCCGCGCCATCAATCCAATTGATGATTCTTTGCCTGTGACTATCTGCATATAACAAATAAGGCTACCTTTGATATATAGACAGAACAGAGATATCTACAGAAGGGGGAAACCAAGGTATGGGCATGCGCTGCCCTGCCTCCACATTGTGTTACTGGATACAAGGAAATTGTCAACTAATTGGATCACATTATGTAGCTCAACCCTGATGATTTAATAAGATTATAAAACTTGGATGATGATAGGTAGCTTCCTGTTACCTCAGAAGTTGACTCTTTTGAGGCACTTCATATGGTCTGCAGATGTTTTATTTGTCCTTCAATTTCTCTCTTCTTCTTTTTTTGTAATGGAACTTAGGTGGTTAAGAATTTAAAGACCTTAAATTATGACACAACATAAGACCGATTTTCACATCAATAAGTTCTCTTGTCTCGAAAAGGTCATTCCTAAAACTTGCTCGTCTCTCCTTGCTTAAAGAAATTCAACATTGATGGTACCAACTGTTAGAAAGGTGAATACATCTAAGTCACATGATACCTTGGTTGTAATCCAAATTGCTGCCCTTGTAATTGCAAGTGTCCCAGTATTCTCCAACTGCAAATATTGGCTTAGCTCCCTCGATATATTCCTTTACATACTTCGAAGCATAACTAAAGTTGAGAGAAAGGAAATCTCAGCTCTTTGCAAATGGAAAGACATCAAACAAAAGAAAAGAAAATGGAAATCCTGCCTTGAGGGGAAAGGGTACATAGAGAACTAAAGAGAGCAAGTGCAGATTTACCCTTTGGCAAAATCAAAACGAAAATCTTGGAAGCCAACAGAGGATCTTAGCCACCGCATCCAGTCAATGAGATCTTTCCGGACAAAGGATTGTGTATGATCTATATTTGGAAATCCGTTAAAGTTGTCTCCAGTGCTTTTGTTACCCTGGAAGATATCCTTAAAAGTATGAGCGTATACTCTGAAGGTGTTTTACTTGGAAATTGAAAATATGCAAGAAGAAAAAATCACTTATCCGTAAAATCTATCATCAGACATCACATTCAATTGATTATCTGAAAGTTCATTCGCTACAGAAATGGGCTAAACTACAGAACACCAATTATTAGACTGAAGAGTATAAACCACTCAAAATAATAGATACTGAATTCCAGAAGTTAAAAGAACTAATGGTGAAGGTAGCCCGAAACTGAAGCCACATGAATTCAAGATATTAACTCAAAGTTGTAGTCTTTGATATTCGATATGTAAAAATAGGCAGCAAAATTTGCAACAGGGGACAACTCTGCTAAGTTTTAATAATGAAAATTATTAAAATGAGTCTTCTTAAATAGGAAGATAAAAAGTAAGGTTTATCTAGTAATTTACTTCCAATTATTTGAAACTTACTGAAGGAATCATACGTTTTAGTAAGGTTAATGCACTAAACCAAGCTTAATGTTTAGATACAATTCATTCTTTAACTAATGCTAGCATCAGAGCTTCTTGATCTCGCTTGGCGAATAGAAGTAGGTGGTTCATTTCCAGGAGAGGAATCTATCATCTATGCCACTCTCAAAAATAATAGAGTACACGAAAAATGAACATCATATACTAGAGAAAATGGTACTCGTTAATTCTATGATCAAGTAGATGCAGATGAAAGGATAAATAAATGTCTTAAGTTGCATATCCTTAAAGCAAGATTTCAGTTACAGCATCCTTACCCTTCCACCAGTGCAAGATGTAATAGCATGTTCATCCCAAGACATAGGAATTCCATCATAGCGATTGTAGATTCCACCATGCCCTTGGGTAGTCCCAACACGATGGTTAATGACTATGTCTGCCATCCCTCTAACTTTGTACTGCTTCAACTTATCAAGTAAAGCATTTAAGAGATCCTCAGAACCATATGAAGAATTGAGAGAATAAAGGTTCTGTGGAAGGTAACCTATGATGAAAAAAAACAACACAAAAGATAATAACTATCAAAAGAGAAGCTGAAAGAGCGCAGAGACAACAACTCAAAAGACTAAAACACTTTAACTTTCAACCTTCAGGAGCCAATGAGTGACACACCGGAGGCAGCCAAGCAGTTGTGATACCAGACTTTGCAATATCAGGAACTTTCATATCTAAATTTCTCCACCAATCATGTTTATGAGATTCCCAGTTGAATGCCTGCATGTACAATAGTTAAAAGACTTTTCTACTTATGAACAGAACTGACACAGATCAATGTTTACTTCTCAATTGTATTTTCCATTTCTTTATGTTCAAAACCTACGGATAACGCATCAACATTCATCCTTCAACAAATTGTTATATGAAACTACTTTGAAAGAACATATCACCTGCAATATGATCTCCTTTCCATTGCGTATCACAACCACTACAAGCACATGAAAATTATAGTTCAGTTAGCATTTATCAGTATAGTCCCCCTTCAAAAATCTGTCTTACGAAATACAGTGATTGCTAGAGCTCCTAATGTAGGTAACTACACTAGTCTTAACAGAAAATAGAGCATGCACATCCCAATCATTTACTCTTAGAACTATTAAAGTTTTAAATAAAATACCAAAATATTTTGTCCAAATCTTTATTAAGTTCAAATCTCAATCTTCCTTCTCAATTATGAAGCATATATAAAGGAAAAGAGAACCTTACATGGATCAGACTGCTGACTTTCATCAAACCCCATCACACGTTCTTTGCTAACTCGAACTCACAACTTTACTTTGCTTGTTCAGGAAAAAAAAGCCGATCGCAGCTTGAAATTACGTTCCTCAACGTAGCAACTCTGGTATTTAATACAGACGAAAAGTGAAATTAGTCAAATCGGATCGATTTCTCTAATAAGGAATCATGAATTCTCAACCGTGAAACGAAAAAAGGAGAATTGCAATTGAAGAAAAGTAGGGATCTCTGCTAGTAAAAAAAAAATTAAAATTCGATCACCACATAAACCAGAAATACAAAAAGAACAATATTTTTAAATTTTATTTTTACGAAATGGAGTTGAGATTCGAGGAATTTACAGAAAGTAATCCATTTTCCGGATTCGTTCCACTCCGAAATCGTTCGTCAGTGATATTCACGTTTGGCGGTGAATTGGCAGTGACACGTGGCAATTGTTCATTGGAAGCTTGGAATTGACGGCAATGGGGTGGAGGAGATTGACGACGCGCCGAGAATGGTGCGGTGGCGGTAACGGCGGCGACTGTCCATTGGGGTGGCGACAGTTCATACAAATTGCGGCCGAAAGATGGCGAAAAATCTCAAATTGGGATCATATTAATCAATAATCAATTAAACAACCAACTTTACTGTTCCTGATTCAAAACCCATTAAATTGAAGTACTTCATGAGGGAACTGGTTCCTCGAAAACCCATTAAATATAGTGCTTTTAAAAAGTTTTCCTCATTGGCATTGTTGGGATGTGAAGAAAATAGGAGGCTAACTAATTATGATGGTGTGAACAGTTAATTTCTTAAAACTTTTGTATCTAACTTAAAATGTTTCATAACAATAGAAAGAAAAATAAAACCCAAAAAAACGAATTGAAACTGCAGATACATCCAGACTTGTATCAACAGAGTATGATTTTCAAGGTTTGTATTGTTTTCAACCTCGAGAGATTCTCTTGCTCCTTGAATAATGTTCAATCATTCAACATTGGTTTGAGCCTTTTTATCTTTATAACCATAACAATGAAGAAGAGTGTTATGGCCTGTCACGACTGGAATCTAGACCCCAGACGAGACCGGCGTCGCTGACCTCTCAGAGGTCGCAAACAAGCCTACTTACATCATTCTTATTTTATATAGGTTAATTTTAGCGGAAAATTTGAAATTTTTGATTCCTTAATCATACTTGTTAAACATTCTTTATATTTCATAATCGTTCATCATCAACCATCTAACAATTAAGAGATAAGTAACTGAAAGAAATAATTCATTAAGTATTAATTGTATATCGGTCAAAATAACCCCAATACAAAGTCTGAACCAAAACAGAAAAGAAACGCTAGTGGAACATGCTCCACTAGCTCAACTCTAAACTACGCTAGAATGTAAAACAGTAGCATCCTCGAAGGCATGAGGACCTACCAAACTCCGGATGAATGCTGACGTCTGGATACCAGCAACAACGAACCTGTAGCTCTTCCGTCCACCTGTGCCTGCACCTAAAAGTAGATGTTTGTATGGAATTAGTACACACTTGTACTAAGTACGGGTATATGCAAGCACACACCAGGGACATGCATGAGGAAGAAGAGCTCTTTCCTAACAACATAATGTTTGGAAGTCAAGTCAGTGGACTTGCTAAATTGAGATTGGGAAAATTATGCCATGAGAGTGACATGCATCATTATAATTATCGTATGGCACACAACACATATCTTCATATAGCACATAACATATAACACATAATTTCTTTCATATTATTCATTCATATACCATAAGACCTTATTATCATAGGGAGCCTTCTTTAGCAAACAAAGAGTCTGCTTCATTCCTTCATACGTATTTCATTTCAATTCATTCATAGGCTAGTGCGAACACCAGCTATACCTAGGATGTAGTTTAAGACTTTCATCGGGTTTGCTGTGCAATGATCAGGAATAACCTAATGTCATTACCTGAATCTAGCTCACCTCTTGGTTATCTTATCCTAACACCTTCGGTATCATTCATTTCTTTATATGATTCATTTGAGGCTGACCTCATTAATTCATTGGGAACTTTAACTTTAACCGACATAGAATCATGTGAGCATCATGAAATCCAGTGTCTCCCCCACATCGAAAAGTGGTGGAATCACCGGCCAAAGCGATTCAATAACATGTTAGCGCATATGAGAATTTAACCCCGCCAGATCCCTATAGTGACAATATAGGTTCAAAGACTAGGAGATGTATGGAGACCCATACCCGGCAAGCCGGACAGTCTCATCTCATGAGAGTTACGTGAACCTCCGCCCTTCCCGAAAGAAGGCATCACCGCTCATAGCTAGCCTATCGGTGCTCGGTATAAAGTTCCATTACATTCAACTCATACATCATGGAAATTGGCTTCTAGTATGAGGACATCATAGCTCAATAGATGATTTCTCATCTCATCATTAGTACTAAGTGTTTTAAACTCAATATTTTCATTAGAGTGTTCATAGAGACTGGTCTCTTCATTATCTTACACTCTAATTGGTAAGTACGTATTGGTAACATTTACTTAGGCTCATTTGAGATTGCTCTCATCATATACATTAGCCTCACATCATGATTGTCACCACATTCTTCATTTCATTACATATATCTTAAGTTCACTTATTCTTGAACGTATGTTAAACTTATGTGTTTATACATACAAGCCATGAGGCTTCATTTATAATTCGTTAAGTGATTTTTATTTTTCCTAAGATTATGTATTACAAGACTTATGTATCTTGTATATGTATACCAAGATCTTGATTTTTGATCTAAGTAGATGACATTATTCTTGAATATTTTTACTCACGTATGACTTATGTATCGATACGGAGGTTTGGGCACGGAAACCCAAATCTTGAATTATTTGGATAACACCTATATTTTTCATTGATTTTATTTCTAATATTCATAACTTTAGAACTCTATATTAAATTTCAACATTTTCATGACATAATAAATTTTTCTATTTTAATTAGAATTCTAAATTAAATTTCAATCATTTATATGAAAGAATTAATTTTCTATTTTAATTAGAATTCTAATGTAAATCTCAATATTTACGTGAAAGAATTAATTTTCCACTTTAATTAGAATTTTAATTTAAATCTTTTTTTTTAATTAAATTCGCTTGAATAGGGAGGTTGTGGGTTCGAACCCCCATAGTCCCCCTTATTTTTCAATTATTTTCGTTGGGGATGGAGGCTGTGAGGTGGTGGGTTCGAACCCCCATAGCCTCACCTTTATTCCCTTAATAGTTTACCCCCCCCCCTTTCAGCCTTGAGGTCGTGGGTTCGATCCCCACGCCTCGCATCCCCTTTTTATTCTTTTTTTTCCTTTCGCGAACGGGGGTCGTGGGTTCGATCCCCGCCCCCAGCATCTCCTTATTATTATTTTTTTTCTTTTCGGGAACGGGGGTCGTGGGTTCAATCCCCGCCTCGCATCCCCTTATTATTTTTTTTCTTTTCGCGAACGGGGGTCGTGGGTTCGATCCCCGCCCCCAGCATTCCCTTTTTATTATTTTTTTTTGTTAAGGCAGCTGCAGGGAGGTCCTGGGTTCGATCCCTGCAGGCCTCAAAACTTTTTATTTTATTTTTTTGACGTTCAAAAATTTCCAGATTCTTTTAAAGCCTATTTCTAAGTTCTGGAAATTTATTCCATGATATTTTTCTGCACTTTTTCATCAAATTTCACATTAGTTCTTAGAGAGATTTCATGGTTCGCTCAATTCACTATACTTTATCATAATGAACATCACATTGTACACACATAAAATACATGATAAATATACAATTTACACACCCATGCATCAACTTTTCCGGTCATATTTTGATGATCATTATCGTGATTTTCCGCACATAAATACATTTATATTTAATTTAAGCACATCATTCATGTAAAAAATCTAGCAGCACAACATACCCATCCTACAAATTCGTTAGGGAGCTAAGGACAAGGACATTCAAAGGGGAACAACCTTAGTTTCAAGAGTTTAAGAAACGTTCGAAAGAAAGTACTCTTGGAGAAAGAATTCCATGAGAGAAACTCATACCGTTATTGATGTTCAAACGAAGAATTTGCTACCAAAAACTCTCTCCAAAAGTCAGTCCAAGTTACTTCAACGTCCACACCACTCAGCGAACAACTCCTCTTCGCCTTAATATTTTTTTTGATTGCTTTGTTTTTCTTAAAATTTTATGTGAGTTCTTCAAGCATGAAGAACTGTTGATATTTGGCAGAAATAATGTGAGGAAAATGGAAAACGTGAGAGAGAGTTAAGAAGCGTGAGAGAGAGAACTATTAGGATTAGGAGACTAATTCAAGAATTAGTCAAATAAAATTTAAAATAAATAAATACAAATATGTTTTTATTTATTTATTTATTCATTTAAAACGTGAAAGGAACATTATGCCCTTAAATACCTATTTATTCTTATTTATATAAAAAAAATTGGATCGTTACATGGCCAAAACAAACATAACCAATATTAGAGAAACAAATGTCATAACTACAAAACACGGCATTAGCGGGTTGCCGAACAAAAGACCAGATCCAGAAGATATGTTATTCCTTCTCCTCCCCAAAACGAACAAAAGACCAGATCCAGAAGATATGTTATTCCTTCTCCTCCCCAAAATGAACAAGAGGTTTCACTTGTATTGATTATCAGTTTGGAGAGCGATCGAAGTAGGCTTTCTACTGATATAATGAAGATAGAGGCTCAAGCCGAAGAAATCACAACGTCTTTCATCGGAGAAATAACATATATCTTCATTATATCAGTAGAAAGTCTCCTTTGATTGTTCTCCAAACTAATCATCAGTGAAAACTCTTCTTTAATTTGTAATTTGTGAAGGAGGAGGAACCTCTTCTTCAATTTGTGGAGATGGAGGAGGAGAAAATAACACATCTTTATAACCATAACAATGAAGAAGAGTGTTATGGCCAAAACAAACATAACCAATATTAGAGAAACAAATGTCATAACTACAGAACACGGCATTAGCGGGTTGCCGCACAAAAGACCAGAACCAGAAGATATGTTATTCCTTCTCCTCCCCAAAATGAAGAAGAGGTTCCACTTGTATCAATTATCAGTTTGAAGATCGATTGAAGTAGGATTTCTTACTGATATAATGAAGATATATGTTATTCCTCCGATGAAAGATGCTGTCACATATCAGTAGAAAGGCTCCTTTGATTGTTCTCCAAACTAATCATTAGTAAAACCTCTTCTTCAATTTGTGAAGGAGGAGGAACCTCTTCTTCAATTTTGAGCAACTGGAATACTTACCAACATATTGCTAGAGTCCATTTGAGTGTTTGGATCCATACTAACATATTGCAACAGTTGATAATGATATTTATAGTGGCTGAAATATTTTATTTTGTTTTAAAACTTAAAAATAAATAGATTTTTTCAAAGTTTACAATTATTATGTTAACTTTTTGTGTTTAATAGGTTAAGGTTTTGTATATTTTTGGTGTCTAATAGGTAATAGCCTTAGTTAAAGTATCTAAGTGAATAATGCGGACAACTTTAGGTGGTTGTAGATGACTTAAGCCTCTAATAATGGCAAGCATGTAATTAAAATAAAAAACAACTTTTTTGAGTTGTGATCTAGTTAAATTAAGACAGGAGTCTTATTTTTTAGTCTGAATAGTGTTAAGGATGTCTTGCAGATCTGATTCATTTAGATATATCTAGACCCATTAAGAGGCTTATAAGAAAATAAAACAAACGAACTTAATGAACTGAATCTTAATAATTAAGATCCAGTTTTTAAAAACAAATAAATTTAATGAGGCAAATCTGAATGATTAAGATTCAAACCTCATTAAGTGCAAACAAATGAGGCCTAACATAATGTAATTTTATTTTGTCGATATTTATAATAATATTTTTAA